TTTTTTTTTTTTTTTTTACTTCAGCATTTCTTTGAGGGTGTTGAAGCTCGTGTGGCACAAGGTGTAAGAGAAGAGGAAGTAAGTTATCAATTAGCTTTCAATAAACAAGAGCTACGAAAAGTTATAAAGGAATATCCTGGTAAGGAAGTGAAGAAGGGATTGGATAATCTGTATAAGAAAGTTGACAAACATCTTTGTGAAGAAGAAAACTTACTTCAGGTAATATTATAGCAAATATTGGATATAAGGAATAATTTTACACTTCAGATTTGTTTTTATGTGTGTGTGTGTGTGTGTGTATAATATGTATGAACATTTGGCAGCTGCATGGAGTCTGTTCTCTAAAGTGGAACTGTATATGAAAATAAGGGGAAAATTAGTGTAAGTTGGACCATGGGAATGCTGCATAAACTTACAACTCTGTATTAAGAGCATTCCAGGAAGGTTATTAATAAATAAATACTGTACTTTCCACCTCATAAATGTTACCTTTGCCTTTTCCCACTTACGGGATGTGTTTGAGCTTCAGAACTATCTTCAGGGAAATTCTGGCTTTCAGGAGCATGCCTGCCCTCCTTGGAGGACTGAGTATGTTGAGAAGAGTTTTGTAAAAGGGCTCTTGCACATTTTGAAAGACCTGATATTGATCAGTGAGGGAGATGAGACCAAATTAGATGGACCATCCGTCTGAACAGGAGACTACTACTTCAGCACAGAACTTATTTACAATTCATGTTATCTTTTAATACAGTAATTCTTGGGGCTTAGCTATGGGATTTTTGTGTTCATTTGGCTTAATTTTGTTTTTATTTGAAGTAAAAATCTAGTATTTCTTTTTTTGAGGAGGCAAAGCTAAGCCACTGCTTTGAGGGCTTCGGGATGGTATTTCATTATTTGCTTGGTTAATAACAGAATATTTGTCCTTAACACACTATCTATTTTGCAATAATAAAATATTTTAATGTTGAGGTTTTTTGTTTTTTTGAAACAAGACCAACCCCCACACTTTCTCTTACCTCATGATGTTTTGGTAGAAGTTTTATAAAGTTTAGACTCATAGACTGTTGAAGAATGTTTTTTTCTATTTTAAGGAACAGCAGTTTTTGCCTCCAAATTAAGTGCAACTTCATTGGCAATGTGTAGGGGGTGCACACAGGTGCACATGCACCCCAGGGTTGGTGGTGCACCCTCTAAAAGAAGTGCCGCCAACACCGCTGGTGGTGCGGGCGGTTGCTGCTTGCTTTTCCTCCCCTGCCGACACTTCTGTGGCTTGCCTGCGGGTGGTCACCATGGTCCCCCCCCCAGCCTCCAGGGCACATGTTGTTCATGTGTAACTTGCTCTCAGTTCACTTTTGTTGTTGATTAATTTCTGCCTTTCCAAATTCCCCATTAACTACTGAAAAGCATAAAGCTAAAGTCATGGTTACATCTATACCTCAATGCCATTTGTCCTTTTCTAAACATTTTGCTTTCTACTCTGACAGGTTGTATGGCATTCTATGCAAGATGAATTTATACGCCAATACAAGCACTTTGAAGGGCTGATAGCCCGCTGCTATCCTGGGTCAGGTATTACTATGGAATTCACTATCCAGGACATCTTAGACTACTGTTCCAGTATTGCACAATCTCACTAATTTCTACAAAGAGAAAGATAAGCTAACAGGAAAGCTTGTGACAGGGGAAAAAAAAAAATCACGCTCTTATAAATGTTACTTGCTTTGCAAAGATGGAATTGCAAGCATCTTCAGCTGTCCTATAAATGTATATTTATACTCCCATCTCATGTGTGTCTGAATGTAGAATGAAAAAAGTAGCAGTATTGCTTTCGAGTGGGTAGTAGCAATACTTTAAAGCCATGAATTCCACAAAACACTTCAGATACTATTTTCTTCCTCCTTTATGCATATGTTTATTTATACTTTTCCCCCCTCCTAATGGCAACTACCCTTGTAAATGTGTAGCACATGGAAATGACACTACCCTCCTATCTTCAATAGTACTTTATGTCATGGAAATTATGTAACCATTAAAAGATTGTACAGACTTTTTTTGTCTCTGGCTGTAATATGTGGATGTGGCATTAATCCAAATAAAATGATAAATTCATGTTTTGAGAAGGTAATGTGTCTGTGGTTGTAATTCTTCAGTAAAAATAATCTGTTTCAAAGGATGTGTTTACAATTCACTAACTAAAGGACTTTTCATTTCAAAGCAGTCACTATGCTTCCCTGCAACACACGCAGCTTCATTGATGAAGCTGTATGGCCTGGGGGTTGCCTTCATCTGTAGTGGGTGGGCATGACCATCTACCATGGTCCTCGATTGATAGGTATATTGACAATGTTTCATAGAAGCAGGACATTGGCAGCAGTTGTTCGCTTGCTTTACCTGCAGCAGGTTAGGGTTTTAGGTCAGGGTTGATGGTAGTTTTAGGAAGTTTTCATTACGGTTTGGATAGAGATGATCCTGCTTCAACAGGAGGTTGGACTAGATCAGTACTTCTCAACCTTTTTTTGTACCAGGACCCATTTGTAAATATCAATGACCAGTCCTGACGCAGGGCCCCTCAACTCCTGACCTGCTGCCCCCAGGCCCCTGGTGTGTGGGGCAGGAGGGGGGCCCAAGCAACACCTTGCAGGCTGGAACTCTGCCAGCCTGCAAGGGAAACACTATCATTTCCTACATTTTTTCTTCTTTAAAGAACCCATTTTTAAAGTTTGTTCATGACCCTTTCATATATTCTTGCAACCTACAGCTTGATAAATGCTCGACTTGGATGACCTCTGCCCTACTTTGATTCTAGGAGGCGTTCGGGGACACTGCAGAGCAGTCTTGCCTCTATTGCAGTAGCTCACAGGCTGTGTACATTCATAGAAGTTTTGAGAGACTGTGTGCTAGCAAAAACCTGCTTGCATATCAACTTTGAATTCAGCAATTATATTCCTAGGAGAGAGGTGGGCAATTTATAGTTCACACAGGGGAATGATCACCTGTCTCTAAAAGCTTTTATATCGAATAGTTAACCTATGGGAAGGGTGTGGTGAATAATTATCTCTTTATGGATCACCTACCTGCTGATATGTCCTGTTGGCAAAGCTGACTATGAAATTGACCACAACCCTGTCCAAGCAGGCAGGAGGTGGCCTGCAGACCCTGGCAGTTGACCCTCCCGTGGCAGCCTAGGAGTCCATGCACCCCCCTCTGCAGCAGGTGGGGCAGGTAGTGTCCACAGCTGACAGGTGAGGCACCTTGGGGGCTGCTGTGGAGACATAGCTCGTGCTGCACACAGCTCTGCCACGGACCAGTTGGCCAGCTGCGCGCTGCTACTAGCAAGGAGGCCGTGACCCTGGTGCTCCGCGTGCTGAGACATCCGGGAGTCCCTGCCCTATTTCTGCAGAAACCCCTATTCTGCGCCGGGCACTGCCGCCTCTTCCCACCAAACCAGGCTGTAACGAACGCAGTCAAGGAGGCTCCGCTCACGGAGGGAGGGGCCTGTGTTGGCCACACCTCCAGGGCTGCGCTGCGCGGGGGTGTCGGGAGCAGGGGGCGGGGCCGTGGGGCAGGAGCTGCCGGGAGGTCGCAGCCCGCTAGGGGGCGCGGCGGTTGGGAGCGCGGGCAGTATTGCGCGTGCGCATGCACGGTTGCTGCGGCGACGCTCGGAAGCGCCGGATGTACCGCGCGCCATTTTCAAACCGCCGGCCCGGCCGCGCGCGCAGAGGCCTATAGAGCCCGCCCCGAGCTGGTGAGTGCGCGATCAGTGTCACACCCGCTGCCTCTACCAGAGGCCGCGGGGGAGGCGGCTCCTGTTCCTGGCGGGGGTTGCCGCGGGGCTGCTTGTCGCGCGTCACAAGCAGCCTGTGCGCGCGCAGTCGCGGGCCTGAGGCAGAGCCCGGGGGCGGCCGGCGCCCGAGCAGTGAAGCCACCGCAGCTCCGAGCCGGCTTTGGGGCGCTTCCTAGCTCGTTCATGTGGGTCCGTGAGCTGAGCGGAGCGGGGCGGGGCGGGGCGGGGCGGGGCGGCACCAGCAACTCTGGTGCGAAGCCGCCGGGCGCTGTTCTGGTTTTAGGTCTCGGGGTGCAAGGCTTTTCCCTGAGAGAAATCCCGCCGCTGGCCACGGGGTGAAGCCGCGGAGGAGGAAGACCCGGGCCTGAGCGTTGTCCCAGAAGCACTGGGAGGTCTTCGCTCCGCAGCCTTTGTCCCCCGGGCTGGCGCAGAGCCTGTCGGTTCGGGGTTCTTCGTCTTGGAGGGCAGAACTCGTCTCCCGGTGCACGTGGACTTTTAATCTTGGTTTAATTCTCGTGTTCCCGAAGGCCACGAGCCTGCACAAAGACCTCTCCTGCTATTTCCCCTGGCCTGTTGTGACGGAGCTGGTTTTCAGCCAAATGCTATGAAAGCTTCTTCATGTCCATTCTCGCAGTTATTTTTTGAGGAGATATTCTAGTGCAAGTATCCGTGAGTGTTAGGGGGTGAAGAATGAGTAGGAAAGCAGCCAGGTGCCCAGGGCAGTGGGTTGCACTGGGGGCAGCAGTGACTGCTGACTGCAGCTGTGCCCCTGGAAGGAACTTGCAGCTGTAATGGCAGCTGATGTTTTTCTGGCATCCCCTCCCCTCTGCCGGCAGCACCAGAGGTGGATGTTCAAGTTCCACCCTAACTATGTGGCTAGTGATCAGTGTGGCTTCTTGCAAAGTATGTAGCCTGTATTTAGGCTACTGGATCCCAGAATTTGTTCAAGGTCTTGGGGCAGTAGTCCATACGTATTCATTTATTTCCAAAATCAGGTGTCTTTTGGACTCTGGGCATACAGCTAACTGACACCATTAGCAACTTCTTTGAGGAGTGTAAATACTACACCAAACAGCATGATGTAGTTTCCAAACAATTATTCATGCTGCGGCTCTCTGCAGTTATACCCTGGCATTTAAACTGCTGTTTCTGAGCAAACAGGAATTTTCTGAGCCTTACTTGGTATTGGACCCTTTTCCGTAAGGATTTCAGGACATGTAACAGGGATTAGTTTGGTGGCACTAATGACCTCATATATGGTGAAGGGTCTTGCAGTTATACTCTCACATCTGTTATGTCAAAAGATATTTAATGAACATGAGAGCCTTCTGTCCAGCCTTGGGCACTACAGAAATTTATGGGCTTTCTCATTATGGTTGTTCCTTTCGGATTGGAAGTTAAAGTTGTGATGGCTACCTTCAAAGCCCTTATTTGTGAAGCTCCTCATCATTTTTCTTTTATTTGACATTTATATGGAATCATTCAGGGAGATTGTAACACACTAAAAAGCAGAAATTATTAAGGACATCTAGCACTATCTTGCATGCGTGTCAAAAGCAAATACTGCATCTCAGTGGCACTATTTGCACTCAAGAAGCATTTGGATTTTCAGTTAGTTGAGGCGAAATCCTGGAAATATTTGAAAAGACCGAGTGCTGACAGACATGGGGCGGGGACGGGCCCTCATGCTTTAGAGGGAGCATGTTAATTCAACCCGACTCTGCGACGCCTGTATAGATTGGGGCGCTTCAGCGGGGCTTTTTGGTACTTTTATGTAAAGCTAATTCAATCAGTTATTAGATAAAAGTGCCAAAAAGCCCCACTGAAGTGCCTGATCTATACAGACGTTGGGGAAGCCGGGTCCAACTAACACACTGCCTCTTCTGGGCATGCGCTGGACTTGGCTCGGGCATGCGGAGTTTAAAGTAAAGCACTGGGTTTTTGGCAGGTGGGTGGTTAATGTCTGTAAGGAGCAACAAACATTTTAAGATGAGAACGTTTTTTACATTGTTTCTATCTTCTCAAATTTTGTGTGTTTTTCATTAGATCTCTGTGAGAGATCTGTATCAGGAAAACCTGACCTTTTCTAATTGTGGCTGGCAAAAAATTTCCTCCTCGTTGGATTCAGACTTAGCTACACTGATCCAGATGATGTTCAACTCCAGCCTCAAATGTAATAACTTTCTAATTTGAAAGTGACACAGAAAAGAAAACTCCTGCAGTTGGTTCTGAATAGATGCCCATCTGCTGAGAAATTCTGACTAGCAAGACCAAATTACTCACCCATTTGCTTTCTTCTGTGGTTCCATATTGGGTACCAGGTCAAATTCAAAGTTGCGGTTCCTCTTCAGAGGCCTCCATGAGATTGTCCAGGGTTACATGTACTGGGATTGTGGACTTCGTAATAACTGTAATCTGTCAGAAGTATGGAACTCAGCCTCCAGTGACTGTTTCATGTTGTGTTTGTTTTGTTTGCAAACAACAGAGACCCTTTTTTTAGAAACTAGCCCACAAATCATGTTCCTGGAAGAGATAAAATAACCATGATGTTCAGAAAAAGCGTAATCTTTTTATTAGGTGAATGCTAAGCAGTCTTCCCAAAGCTGAGGTCTAACTGACTAGAGGAGGACAAGGCATATATGCCTCATTTCTGGAAAGTGTTCTGCTAGCTCAGTGTTAGAATCTAGATAAATATGGTGAAACTGTGCAAATAAGGGCATTGTATGGCAATTTTCTTACACAATTTTCAGAGAACTTACTAATATTTTCTATTCAAAAAATAAGTTTTTTGTTCTGTAACTCTGCTTCATAGGATAATACTATATATACTGTGTAATCTTTTACAGGTCATTTACTTTTTCAGTGTGGTACAACCATCTTTGAAGTGTGTTCATGATGACCACAGCCGCAGAACGCAAATTTATTAACCTCCGGAAACGGCTAGATCAGCTTGGCTACCGGCATCCCCTGGGAGTGGAGAGCCTGCCTCTGGTGGAAAAACTCTTTAGGTATCTAGCCAAAACAGAATTTTTTAACAATCATGTTACTCAAGTTGTATATATTATATAATTATAAAGAGCAGTGGAAAATAACATTGTTTGAAAATCTTTTTCAGAATAAACTATCCTAAAAAAGATTTCTTAAACAATGGGGTCATCTTAAATTTTACTAGAATTATTAGGATAGTTCCTCCACGTATTGATAGACTAAGAAAAATCTTATTACCTAACTTCTGGAAAAAACAGTCACCGTAGAAGCCAGTGATCTGTTCTAAAGAATCCTATGTGAATTTAGTGAATGAGATGTCTGAAATGAGGCTGACAATTAAAACGGACATGTTCACTCAGTTTCTGTTTGATTTTTGTGTGGGTAGAATATTTACTACATCCGCTTTTACTTAAGTGTATCATGGTATGCAGAAAACTAATTTAACTAGGTAGTGAGCAACAAGGATACCTTATTCCGCCTTCTACAAAATCCCAGCTTTGATGCCATAAAGGAGATATGAATTGGACCTAAAGTCAATCTAGTCCAATATTCTGTCTCTGATAGTGGGCTGATTAAATGTAGGGTTAAGAACCCCACTATAGTCAGAAATAGAATGATCTGCCCCTCTTCATTATGTTTGATCCTCATCTCTAAGGCCTCATGTATGCTAGTGTTCTGCTTGCAAAATCTTTACATATATCTGAAGTCTGCCCAGAACCATTCTTCTGTTACCATGCCTCTTCCAAGGAAAGCTGTCTCTTCAGCTGACGGAAGGTGCAAATAGACACGCTTGCACCTTCTGCCAGTTTCGTGGTCCCTTTAACTATTGATACCTTCCCAGGGTGTACTGTGCACTCTGGCATGCTTGCTAAAATGGAGCTACCAAAAACATGGATATGTATGAGTGGCAGCTTCTGTCTGTCACCAGACAGACTGCTTCTGTCTGTCATCTGTCTGTCACCAGACCTTCTGCTGGCAGAATGAACAAAGTCTGATAGTTGGATTGGCTTTAAGATTTGAACCATAAGGCTTAACTTTCTTTCCAAAACGTTTTTCATAATGAATGATGTTAACTAAATATCTAATATCTGAATATCTAAAAAAAAAATGCCAGTTGTTTCTTAGATCTTGTTAAATTCTTCAGTTTAAGAACTTTCTTCAGCAATGAGTTTCTCAATTTATGTTGTTTGAATGCAAGAATAATTCTGATAATTCCATATTTCCTTTTACCAGCTTTGAAATTCCTGCCTTTTTACTGGAGTATTTTCTTTTTCTTGTGGATAATATGAGATATTGGTCATAGAAATTCCAGACCTGCTTACTGTATCAAAAAGGTCAAAGGTCTGTCTGAGCTAACATCCCATTGTGTTAGTGTGGCTAAGGCATGCCAGATTCTGTAACCAATGGCACATAAAGGATTTGTGTGGCTATCATCACATCCAGACACTTTTGCCTCTCATCTGATACAAGGTACCCATTTATATTTGGGTCAGCTAGTGATGGCCTTCTGCAGGAGTCAGGAGAGAGGCTTATACATGGACCCCTGGAGCCATAGCGAGATCCCTTAACCACTCCCTTATTGTGCCCCTTGCTTTCTTTATTATTTCATCTATGTTTTAGTTGTGTCCCCTCTTACTTCCCTATTTAAATAAAAGTCTTTACACTTTCTCTTTCCATGAGTTTTTCCAAATCTTGATTATTCTCATTGCTTTTCTGTGCAACCACTTTGGTTGTAATATCTTTTCCCAGCGAGGGCCAGAACTGCAGAAAGTATTCCATATGATGTTGCATCATTGATTTGGGTGTGCATATCTGTAAGTCTAATTGTATTCTACATGTCATTCACTATTGCATTCTTTATGCATTTTATGCCTTTTGTGGAAGAAACCCACTTTTCATTTTTAGCCTTGTTGGACAAAAGCAGTCTGTTTACCCACAATTTGTACTTTAAATGAGGAACATGCAAAGTCGTAATTGAAAAGACCAAAAACTTTAAATTCATTTAGTCTACAAAGAAAGCAGTGCAATGTGTTTCATATTGAATAATCATTGTAAGCAGTGAATGTTAATGTCTGCCATGTTTTAGTAGTGTTGAAGTGATGTTGCTGTGATGGTTCAGGAAATATGAGAAGTAAGAATCCAAAATGTGGAAGTTACCAAAATTTGCTGTTTATAATGAAAAATCCAGAGTCTAAAAAAAAAAAGTCAGACTACATAGTGACATCTTCTTCCAACCTAAGCTTGTGTAAGAAACATAATATCATTCTCTTATGTCTTGTTTTTATTTATGTATGGAGTTTTACACAAGTTTTTGTTCCATTTGTTACTTAGTTCAGCTATATTTGTTTCTCTTCCAGAGGCCTCAGGAAGGATACTGTGATACCCAAAAGCTTGTCTGTGTCTGTCTGTTGGACCATGCAGTTGGTCCATTAAAAGATATCACCCGCAAGAATTCTTGCCTCTTGCATATTAAATAATCAAACTTGAGTTCTGGAGTGTTCTTAGAAAAGGGACCTTACAATAACCTGATTTGACTGAGTGCTAGAAGCTTTCCTTGTAAGATGCCCTTTTTCATATTGAATATTTGAGAAAGCTGAGTTTAAAACAATGTGCTACATGCTCTGCTGTATTAAGATTTTTTCCTCTACACTTATGGCTTATTTTAGGAAGAAAATTAATCATACATTTTTTGGCCTTATAGGCACCAGATATATTGATGACCTCTTGTTACGGGATTCTCTCTAAACATCTAATGGCATTATCATGAATAATCTTCATTAAAAGGGAGTAAGAAAAGGAAATCAGTTACACTTACAAATTCTTTTGCATTTGCTTGTATTCCTATCTTGAAAACTTCATTGAACTCCTGTCAAATTCTTATAAAGGAAAAAAAATACCTTTACATGTGTTCTGGAATGTATGTGCCTGTCTTTAATGCCAGGAGGGAGTTTTAAAAACACAAATCTATGGTCGTTTTCATTTTTTAGGAAAAAAATTCTGGTAGGTAAAACATACATGCTAGAAATAATTTGAAGTGCCACTTGTCCTTTTAAGGACAGAATTAACATGTAGAGCTGTTGTTTTCAATTTGTTAGGATTTCTGCCTTAATTTAGTCTGTCAACTATTCCTTGGTTTCAGTGATCTTGTCCATACAACAGAGAGTCTACGCAGCGCAAAGTTATCTGCTGGAAAAATTGAAAAGGAGTGCAGCAATTTTGATGCTATTCTGGAACCTTATAAAGCAGAGAATGCTAAACTTACCAGAGAAAATAATGAACTACATTTAGAGATACTGAAACTGAAAGAACAATCTGATCGTCATGTAAGAGGTAATTTAAAAAAAATTCCAAAGATAATTTATAGTCATTCTGAATCAGATATATTCAAGGCTATGATTGAGGAGACTTTTATGTATGTATTTAACTATAAGTGCAAGTGTGGTCCCATTGACTTTAGTATGTTTGAAGGATTGAGGCCTAAATGTGTAAACATTTGTTTTGCAATCCAGAGGCTTTTGAATTTGAACAGTATCACATATTGATCATGTCAAATTGTACCTCTTCTGAGACGCACTTACAAATTAGAAAAAATACTTAATTAAAATATCAGGGATATAGCTGTTTAAAATACAACTTTATTTTGGGACACGTTTTGTCCTTTTGTCATTCCAATTTATAATCTTTCTGTGTTTTTATATAACAATTGCTCCTTTTTCAGATAAAACATATTATTCTCCCTCTCTGCTTGAACAGTAAATCCACCTTAGAATCTGGCAGTGAAGCCTATTGTTCCTCGTGGCCCATCATAGCAATTCTGTGTTTTGTCCTCTAATTTCTAATTGCAGATTCTTTTAGTAATCCAGTGTTTCATGTGAGGATGAAGATAATCTAGTTTGCTTTTATACATCTATATTCAAATGCTGTATAGAGAAGAAAAAGTATTTTAGTAATTCAGATATGTAGAGGCACTGGGTGCCAAGAGCAACACTGTGGGGTCAAATAGCCATTCCAGTCCCTTGGCTAGCGAGTTGCCTCAAAGGAACCTCTCCTTTGCTTCCACTGCTCCTATAGCAAAGAGGCAGCTCTTTGCTTGCAGCTCAGGCTGCTGCCTGGGGACTGGTTCTGAGGTTCCAACAATGGCTGGCAGCACCAAGCAACCCACAGGGGGAAGGATGCATTGCCCCCGGGGTGAGCCAGGCTAGGCCTACAACTGTGGCTGCTTCCTCAGTACTGGGACTGGTCCCTGGGCACAGCAGCAGCTTACAGTCTGTGGGACAGTTCTTGCATCTGTTGCCTACCCTGCAAGACTATTCCCATGGGTTCTGTGGCCAGAAGAATGACTTGTATTCTAGTCATAGGGGCAGGGCTTCTTGCTGCAGCTGACAGAGCATGAGCAAGAATCTGCATTCTGGCAGCCTAGGCAGCATTGCTGAGGCCTCCAGCACTGTGGCCAGAATGCTGGCTCTTGTCAGTTTGCTAGCTAGGTGATCAAGCTTCTTGCCATGGCTGTCAGAGCACAGGCAAGAGCCTGTTTAGCAATTGCGGTGGTACTCTGAGGCTCCACCCTGATTCATGGCAAGCAGAGAATCAAATGATTGGTGGGACTGAGCAGAGAGCAGTCCTTGGGTCTGTGACAAAGCCACCCCCCTGTCTAGTCCCACTAGTCAGCTGAATTGGCTGTGTGGGCTATTGGGGAGTCAGCCTTGGAGAGCGGGGAAATGAGAGCAGAAGACTATGGGATGGATACTGGATGGATACCCATATCATGCTATGTGTACAGGTGTTACATGTGGCTCTAGAAAATTTTGGTCTGTGGAAAAGTTGTTGGTGGAAAGAGCAAACGGTTTGTCACAGAACTGGCATATTTTCAAGGAGAAACCACTTAAATGACCTTTTAAGTGGTTTTAGCACTTTTTGCAGTGCTAAAAGCATGTAATTTCTTACTAGAAATGGAATGCCTGTCCATAGTCTTTGAATACATGATTAAGAAGCCATTTTTTCGTTGTCTGTTTTCAGAATGAAACTACATTTTTAGTTAAAGTATATTCATCCTGTGGTAGGAAGTAGGTACATGTGACTGTCCTGAAAATCAGAGCTTTAACAGCTGACTGGTTACTTACAAAGTAATGAGGTAATTTAAAAAAAAACAGGTAATTTATAGTCATTGTGAATGTCAAAACTAAGCTGTATTCAGGGCCCTGATCAGGGTTACTTGTATGTATGCATTTAATGCTAAGCACAAGCCAAACATTGAATGAGTTGGAACAATTGATCAAATTATAAGCAAGGTGCATTAGGCGCTTTACAGTGGAATAAAATGCATAATTTAAGCTACATATTTTACTTGTATGTATAATTAAAAATGTTTGCTATGGTTCCTGAGATTAAAATATTATCTGTAGAGTTGTCACTATGCTTCTATTATGTTCCTAGTGTTCAGAGATAAATTACAACCGTCCTGGAAAGCTATTTCCAATATATTTAAGATGCTTGCCAGCCATCTTTGCCTCTGCAGCTAATTCAGTTAATGTAGTCTTACATTTAAAAACATATAAGGTATCCTGAAGATAGGAGAGATTCAGATCCTCTGTATCCTATTTTTTGTTAAAAAATTAAAATGAAAAGTGTAACTGGCAATAACAGTATTCTGATACACTGATAGATCTCTTATTTTCTCTTTTCCTATCCCAATGGAAAATAAAGACTCTTTTTGGTCTTGGTATAGACCAGTAGTCAGCAGTGTTTCCTAGCATTGGGCTGGAATGATCCAGCTCAGGTATGAGAGAGGCCGATGCTAGTACTCAGCTGCTCCACCTTCCCTCCTAGTCCTCCTGAATGCTGCCATAGTCCAACTTCACTAGTTGGATTCACCCCACGGGCTGTAAGTTGCCAACCCCTGATATAGGCAACTTAATTTTCCCCATGGATCAGCGGTTCTGAACCTCTTTCAGTTTACATACCCCTTGGTCTCAGAGTGAGACTTCACGTACCTCTTAGGAGTGATGTTTTCGGTGTGAGGTTGAGGCATGCAGCAGGAGTAGCAGGTTTCTGCGCACATGCGCATATTACAGCAGTAAAACCCCAGCAATTTCAAATTGTCAAGATTTTTTTAGGCCCTTCGTCCTGTGTTAGACAATGTATGAAATATAGGACACGTACCTCCTGCTGAGGCTTCATGTACCCCCAGTTCAGAACTGCTGCTATAGATGAAACCACAAGCTTAATAGATCCTCTAGAATCTCAGAACATTCTTGATGGCCCCTTGCTTTTGTTTTTGGTGGCATAGATATATAGATACTACATGTCTGGAGGAAACTGGATGTGGTCATGATGTGCCCACGTCCCAGGTAGCTGTTTTAGTCTGGCATAAATTAGACGATCCCTGCAGCTTCTCTATAGTTCCAAGGGAACAGTCCTCACAGGGCAGCCTTAAGAACAAGAGATTGCAAAACTGTGCTTGGCGCAGTTTGTCAAAAGCAGCAATCTCCAGGAAATACACCAGTGACCTTTACCTAAATTGCTATTTTTGTGTGGATCTTTATGTTCTTATAAAGTTGTCACATTCTGGAAAATGAGATCAGTCTTTCTTATACCAGTATTTATGCTACTAACCAATTGCCTGTCAAGAATGTTGGGGGAGAGGAGAGCAGGCGGGGACAGAGCCCCCCACTCCGGGCTGCTGCTTGGGGTCCAAGCCCGTTCTCCCCCTCCCTGCCGCAGCGACGGGGGGAAGGGAGGAGTGGGCCCGGGTCCGAAGCCGGGCTATCGCGTGGGGCAGGTGTTGAGGAAAGCGGTGTGGCGATGGGAGGAGCGGGCTCAGGGCCAACACAGAGGAGGAGTGGGCCTGGGCCTGACAGCAGCTGTGTTGGGCTGGGCCCACTGTCCTTGGCCCCAGTGGGCCGACCGGCTTTTCCTCTGGCTTGGGCTCACCGTCCCCCCCCTCCCCCACATCAGGCTGGGCTTGGTGTTCCCCTCCCAGGCCTGCTCCCCTTTCCCCTATGTTTAGACCCAGGCCTGCGCTCCCACACCACGCTATCTGCAGGGAACTGGGGGGTGGAGAGCAGGCCAGGCCAGCCCTGCTCTTGCCACTGCCTCCGGGGAGCAAGGCGTGGGCACAACTGGCCTCGCTGCCACCCCACCCCCCATCCCCTGTGTCCCTACCGTGATGGCAGTGGGCTGCCTTCTGTCAGAACACTTCTTCACACTCTGATTGGCTGTTTGTCAGCCAGGTAGCATGAATAAAGTGTGACAGACGGACTAACAGACAGGCTTTTATAATATTTGAATTGGTAAAAATGCAGTTAGGGAGAATATTGATCTGTGTATTTTTTTACAAAGATTTGAAAGCCAGCTTAAGAAAAGTTGAACATGAGACAGCTGACTTGAAGTTTCTGAATAACCAATATGTACATAAAATTAGAACATTGGAAAAAGAGAACAAAGCCAAGACTGAAAAAATTCAGCAGCTTCAGGAGAAAAATCTGCAAGCAGTGGTACAAACACCAGGTAAGGTCTTTGATTGTGAAGCAGTCCAGAACTATTTCTGTTGCATCTTCAAACATCATGCAATATATTTTAATTTCAGATGAGGTCAGCTAGTAGTTGCTTCTTTTGGACTAAGTTAGCAGTCTCCCTATTTTTTAAATAAAGCATTATTGATGTACATGGTTCTAGACAAGCAAATAGCCACGGTTGTATGAATCATTTACAATATAAATAGGATCAATGAGGTAATAAACTTGACAACAGGTCATATGATGTTATTGGGGGGGAAGGGAAGAAGAAATGTCAATAAGTAATGAAGAGTCTAATTTAGCTACAGAGCTGATACAAAAGTTATTTTCATATTTGTTTACCTGTTGTTGTTGTTGTTTTTATTTGGATGCTTGCTTGCTAAAATAGAACACATCTGTGGTACAAGTTTTATTGAAAGAAGTACTTTTTGGGGAAAGATTTAAGAGATCTGAGTTACTTGGTTAATAGAAGAGGTGCAAAATTTGGCCCCTGTTGCTGGCTAGAATGAAACAAGGAGTCACTTCCCTCAGGCTAAAGAAGCCGTAATCCTTGACTAGTTTCCGTAGTGAAAGCTGGTAACTTTGGCAGCTGCTCTTCTGTTATCTCTCCCCTCTCTTGTGCCTCCTTCCTGTTATTTTTCCTTCCTCATTCAGTCTGGCTTCTTAACTATCAAAGTTAAAGGCCAATATGATGATGCTGCTGATTGTCAGTCATATGCCTAAGATGGCCTACTTCCTCTTATCATAAGCTTTTCATTGCTAAGGAGACCACTCAGCTCTTCCTAGCCATTGTCCTGAAATGCCTGTCCCGCTATCTGTCATAGTCTCCAAGTATAGCTCGCAATTTGTCTCCTGTTTCTGGTGAGGGCTCTTTTCTATGTTGAATGTATGGTCTTTACCTATAACTCACAAACTGATGGTTGGAATTTTCCATCAATTACATCAGAAAGTCTGGTCAGCTCTCCTATTTCTGGTAGAGTGCATGTACAACAACTCTCTGCATCCATCTCTTTAAGTTTTGTTTTTTGTGCCAATTAGTTTTCACCCCCAATTCTATGCCTCTGTGCCAAAAGCATCTTGTGTTCCTGTTACTGTTTATTTAATATGTCGCATCCTTGCTTGCAGAGGGAACTGACTTGCTGTTTTTCGTGGGCCAGGTATAAGTGCCAATTAGTGCTACCAAATGTCCATAACTCAGGTACACCTAGATGTGAACATACTTACATGCACAATATGTCTCGAAGAACAACATATATGGTATAGATGAGGAACTGGGTTTTGCGTTCCGTTTGTTGAAATAACCGGTCTTTTTGTCAACAGGATTCTTGTTAGCAAACTAGTAGGGCTGTGTGAAATTTTGCCTGGTGTTTTGTTCCAAAGCTGTTTTGATGCATTTCGAGCTAGAAACAGTGAAATCTAGAAACAAAAGCCTTTGAAAGAGCTTCGAAATGAAACAAGGGGACTCGAAATGTTTCAAAGTTTTGAAACGTTTTGAAGCCAGCCTACACCCAGCTGAAGGAAGAGAACCTGCACCCCCAGGAAGAGTCTGGCACATCCCCCCCAGCCCTCCCAGGGGTGCAGGCAAGCCCCCAGTCTGCCTGCTGGATGACAGGAGGCTGGTGATGCCGGCTGGGCCTGGTGGCAGCACTGATCTTCCCAGCACTGGAATAGCCTATGGGCGAAACGTCAAAACAGCATCGAAACAGCAAGACAGTTTCGATTAAATGAAATGGAACAGTGCTTTTGAAACAAAACAAAACTCTTAATGAAACACTGTTTGGTTGAAACGGAAGTCAAAGTGGAACGGTGCTGTTTCACACAGCCCTGCAAACTAGTACTTATAGAAACTGCTTAATTTGGAGGGAGTCGGGTTGTGTTAAACAGTAACAAGTTTTAGAGGTTGAGTTGTAGAACTTCTTCTATACATGTACTACATCAACTAAACTGATGTTAATTTGTTATAAGAATGTTGTGTAGCATGTATAATTTATCTTACTGGGATGTATTTCTAAGATGAAAAGGAGAAGTATCCCAGTTTAGAAGGACTTGAATATACATTTCAGTTTTAAGTAATAAGAATTTTACTTTTTTAGGTGGCAGGAAAAGAAATATTCCATTCAGACGCCAACGCATGCAGATTGACCAACCTGTCCCTCCCTCAGGAATAAGTTCTTACCCGGTTCCCCAGCCAGATGACCCTTATATTGCAGACCTTCTTCAAGTGGCTGATAACAGGTAATTTAAATACTTTTTTAAATTCTAAAGTATTGGTAATATTGTTGTACCAGAAAACATACATCTTCCCCCCCGCCCTTCAATTTTCCAGGAGTTGGATAGTATTTCAAGTCATTTTGCAGTGCCACTTATGTATTCACTTGATGTGCTAGTGTTTTGCCCTTTTAGTTCTTTATCAAGAAATGGAGAACTTGTTGGTAAATAACTCCTGTATGTCACAGTTGGAGATTCATCAATCTCTGTGTCTGGGTTTATCTGACTATTTAAAATGGAAATCCATAGCGTCAAAAATGTTCTGACCTGTTGTAGTCTTTTTAAGTTCTTTTCAATAGAAGAATGGCTCTGTTATTTTTTCATAGTCAAGAAACAAGTGAAAGCTAGGCACTGACATTTTCCAGCGTGTTCCCTTACTTTAAAAAGAAAAAGGTTGAGAGTGACCGCTTTGGTAACTTTTAACAATAATCTTTTATCTGATACCTTCCTGACATCTTTTAACTCACCTTCTTTTTTCTGTTGAGGCTTCTATGTTATACAAAAGGTTGAGAGGCACAGGGACCCTAGGGATGAGTGAAAACCCATGTACTGCTCAGCTAGGCAGCTCATGTGGTTTTATAACTCCTCATTTAGGTGGCACATGCGGTTTGGACAGATCCTGATGTTTTAACTGGTCCTGGGGCACAGGTGGCCATACTTTTGATTTAAGGCATGATGCAAACAAGCCACAAAATAATTCCACATTATATGTCATGTGAAATAACTTTGTGGTTTGTTTACTCTCATCACACATTAAATTGATTTACCTGTGTGGCCTGGTTACTAATTAAGGCATGATTAACCTGCTAATCATGTTTTAAATGTAACGTGTCAAGCACCTTACGCAGATGTTTTGGGGATCAAGAAAACAATAATATAAAACATTGAAACTCTTTATCTTGCTTTCTGATGTTTGTACTGAATTCTTCAATGAAGTGTATCTGAACAAATGCAGTATATATTAATATGTTTCAGAATCCACGAACTTCAGTTACAAGTAGCCGAATTGCAGGAAAAACTGGAAATTTCTGAACGTGGTGTGAAAAATTATAGCAAACAGGTACAATTAACGCTTTAAGATTCCCCAGTAGGAATCATTGGGATGGTCTAGGTATTACTTGTGTTTTTTATTACACAAGAAGAATTCTGTGTATTGACCAACACATTTACTTCGTATTATGTTGCTTTTATATTTCTGGATGATGTCACTAATGGTAAAATGGGATTTTTTTTAAACTAAGATATATTTCTACTACTTCTGTTGTGCTTGTATCAATTATTCCTTTAAATAATATATTTTAAGTGTTTTAAGCTAATTGATTTTAATTTTGTTTTTAATTTTTTTCTATTTATTTTCTTAAAGATTCGTTCTTAATGGATGGTAACTGTTAAAACGTTTTGATAAATATAACATTTACACTAACTTTGGCATTCAGGAAGACATGCAATAATCAGGAAGAATGCAATATCTATGCACATTTCTTTAAGAATCCACATCACTACATTAAGCTGTATAATTGTTTAATGTGGATATTCTCGCTATGTGGGAATTTTAACTAGAAGTGCTTATTCCTTACATGTATTCCTGCCCAGTTTCACTATTGCAGACACTAGGACAAAGATATAAAATGGGGCGTATCACTGATCTCTTCCGTTCCTTCACACTGTCAACAATGATAGACCTGGAACCTGTTTGGAACCATTCATAGAAGAGGAGCTTATTCAGTACTGGACATATATGAGGATTTAGATAAATTTTAGATACATTGGTAGTAATTAGTAGTGATGGGCTTTCAACCCACTGAGGATTTTTGTGGAGGATCTAAAGAATAATAGACTGTATTTCCTTCCCATCAATATTTTTATGATCTGATGAACATACTTGGTACCTTGCGTGTTCAAGAGAGTCGCTCTCCATCTAGCTGCTTGATTTGCGGTGTATGTACTCCCCAAATTAAAAAGCATAATCATAATAAATAGTAGTGCTACTCCTTCAGAAAGCATCAACAAGAACTATCAGATCCAAGTAAAAAACCATATTGATCCAAGACAAGGGTGTCAAACTCGCTTGGGGCCTCAGGTCAATCTGGACTGTGGGGCTCATCGCCAGCCAGATCCAGCCTAGGGCACTGGGGTGGCTGCCATGGCCAGCGTGGTCTGAGAGGTCTGGGGGTGGAGGTCTGCTGGCAGTGGGTCTGGAGAAGGGGTCTAGGATAGTGGTGGAAAGCCAGTCTTGTCACCTATACATAGCCAGCAGGGCCAAAGGCCTTGTTCTGTGGCAGGCCAATTTTTCATCAACTGCCAGTAGCTTAGTGGGCCAGACAGAACAGTTCTGCAGGCTAGATCTGGCCCAGGAGCTATATGGTTGACACCCCTGTCTTAAAAAATAGCTAGTACAAATTTTTTGTACTCTTATTAAACAAATGTGAATAAAAAAATGGAAATGTACTTATTGTACATAAAATATTGACTTTGTTTATGAAATGAAAGGAGAACTGAAGCTTTTTTTAAATAATAAAGAAGTAGACAAATTACAAATGTTTGGAAAACAAATAGTTAAATAACATTTCCCTACTTTACTTAAAATTGGGTATTAGTTAATAAGACTTCAGCTTTTTAATTCAAAGTGCGTTGTTTAAGGTGGGTGAATTCTCGTTTATTTTTGAGACAAAATGAATGCATTCTTGAAATATCTTTCTCCAACATGTTTTCTCTGAAGGAGACATAGTCTCAGCCATTTTTAATGCCTGAGATGGATATCCTCCCAGCCCTTATCTTCTGCTCTCCTTCCACCCATATCTTTAGTCTAAGTCTTGCAAATGTAAAGCAGCAAAAATATTTTGCTAGGACTGTCATGTCTCCTTGTATGTCATTTGCTAGGCTGGTTTCTTTTTTAATACATTCCTGTGGTAGCTTTAGCTCAAAAATTAGCCAGCTAGGTGAGTCGTGTATTCCATGAAATGTCTGTGATTCCTTTAAGGGTTTTTGTTTTTGTTTTTTAATCAGATCAGTTGTAAAAATGCTATCTTCCAGTTACCTCCAGCTAAGCTAGTTTTTTTGCTTTTCCTTGAGATAGGGACAGGGGGCCTGTCTAAGCCTTGCCTCAGGCTGCAAGAGAGGCAGTTCAGCACTGAGTGAGGGATTTGAGAAAGTGCACTAAGGCTGCTTGCAGTTAAAAAAACAAACAAACAAAAAAAAACAAAACAAAAAAATCCAAACAAAAACAAGACACACTTTACCAGACGAAGCGATGTGTTACTTCACTGCAGCTCTGCAGCATCTATGAAGGTCGGGTGCATCAGTGGGGCTTTGGGCATTTTTAGCTAAAGCCAGTTCAATCAGCTACTAGATAAACATGTCGAGAAGCCCCACTAAAGTGCCCAATCTTTACAGATGCTGTAGAGCCAGGTTGAAGTAACATGCTGATTCTTTGGGGCATCCATAGGTCTCAGTGAGGAAACATGCAGAGTTTAAAGTGCCGTTGAAAAAAATTTTTTTTAACGTTTGCAAGTAGCCTGGTTGCCTATGCATGTTTTGGGGATCAGGGAAAGTCTGTGTTCCACACTGACATCCCACATCCATTGATCAGACTGGTTAATCACTCCCTAATCTAGTTCCATTTGTAAGAGAATTAGTTATTAGGCCTGTGTGAAGCTTCAGTAGCTGATACAATTTGGAAGAGGTTCAGCTTGATTCACGGATAGAATCTCCAAATCCAAATCAAATTGGGAGACCAAGTAAAAACTCCAAATTAATTTGAAGCATCTGAATCGATTTGGAAAAAGCTTCGGAAAAGATTTGGCCAATTTGGAGATTCAGCCATAGACTAAACAGCCACCTGACAGCTTCCTCCAGCTGGTGAGTCTGTTGGGGTTGGGGCAGGGACTGGGACAAGCTGCCCAGCTGGGGGAGAGGGGCGGGGGGCCTGTGGGTTGCAGGTGCGGCAGCGCTGGGAGCAGAGGCTCTGCCCTGCTGCCACTTGCCCAGCCAAGGGGGATGGGGCAGGGTGTGGGCGCTGCTCACTCCAAGCAGAAGGGGGCAAGTAGCAGCAAGGCATGGCCCCTGCTCCCAGCACTGCTGTGCCCACATCCCACACGCTGGGTGGCAAGCGGCGGCAGGACAGAGCCCCTGCTTCCAGTGCTGATGCGGGTGTAGTAGCTCTGGGAGTGGGGGCTATGCCCTGCTGCCTCCTGGAGTGAGCTGTGCCTGCATCGTGCCCCCCCGTGCTGGCTGGGCAAGTGGCAGCAGAGCATAGCCTCCATGGCTCCTGCTGCTGAAGCAGAGGTAGGCACAGCCAAAGGAGTAGCAGGAAAAGCCCCCATGGCTGCTGTGGTCACTCGCTCACTCACTCCTATTGGGGCTTCTGCGCACTCGTGGCAGAGCCCCCCCGCGCAGTGCAGAGCAACAAGGATTGGCCCTTCCCCACTTGGCACCCACACAGCAGCTGCCCCATGACGTGTGTGCAGCATGGCTCGGTAGGGCACTGTGTGCTGTCTGGGAGCTCCATGGAGTGGTTCCATGTGTCAGCCAGAGCCTAGCAGCACTCCGTCCCAGCGGCCCCAGCTCCCAGACAGTGTGTACCACCCTGCTGAGCCATGCTGCACCCACGCCATGGGGCAGCTGCTGCATGGGTGCCAAGAGGGGAGGAGGCAATCCTTGTTGCTCTGCGCTGCATGGGGGGGCTCTGCCACGAGTGCCTTGAAGCCCCAGTAGTTGCTGCTGGAGCCGGTGAGTACAGGGCTTTTCTTTAATGCCTCCGCAGTCACTGGCCGCAGGAGCAGTTGCTGGGGACTTTGAGTGCTTTTGGCAGAGCCTCCCCATGCAGTGTGGGGGGCAGAGGGGACCCACAGGCATCACCCCCCCCGCCTGGCACCCGTGCGGCAGCTGCTTCATGGCACGGGTGCAGCGCGGCTTGGCAGGACACTGTATGCTGGGGTGGCTCCAGCAGTCAGTTGGAGCCTGGCAGCGCTCAGCCCCAGCAGCCCTACCTCGCAGGCAGCACACAGCACCCTGCTGAGCTGTGCTGCAGCCATGCCATGGGCCAGCTGCCAAGTGGGTGCCAAGGTAGGGGGGGTGATCCCCACTGCCCTGCGCTGCGCAATGTGGCTCTGCCACAAGCACCCAGAGGCCTCAGTCGCCACTCATGCAGCTGGTGAGTATAGGGGGTTTTGGGTTTTTTTTAAAAGTGATGGGGCTAGGCTGGGGCCAAGTGGGGGATGGGACTGGGCAGGGCAGCCATGGGGACTTCTCTTGCAGATTCCCCCACCCTGGGAGAGGTAAGCATAGCTCGAGGAGCCTCCTGGTTGTGCCTGCCTCTCCCCGGCCAGTCCAAATCACCGAATCTCTCTGAATTGGTGCCGAATCTTCCGAAGTTGTTTCAGCTGAATCGATTCAGGACCATCATCCGAATCTCCAAATTGAATCCCTGTCCTCCGAATCGGCCAAATCCAAATCAAATGCTTCCCTATTCACACAGACCTATTAGTTATACAGTCCTACCTCACACCAGTAGTTATGTAATGATCAGTTATTGTTTGTGAAGTGCTTAATTTCTTAGTTTAATTATTAGGAGAGCTGAAAGAGGACCTTGGAGAAACAGTAGATTAACAAAGTGGAATAAGTAGGAAATGAGAATGCTTTAGAGGTAGTTGTGGGTGAGGCAGGGGGGTGAGGTGAGGCAATACAAGGCAGTAAGGGACAGGACAAAAGGTAACAGAATTATAGTGACTGTGAAAAAGCCAACTAAATGCAGCCTTCCAAAGATATCAAAAATGATAGAAATTGTGTGAAGATGGAAGAGGTAGAAGAAAAACAGCAAAGCATACAGCTTTCAGGTTAGTGAATGTATTTTATTAAATGGATTTAAGGCTGAAAACTTGTAGGGAATAAGGTGGGGCTTTTGAGTGCTAAAATTAAGTTGATATTGCCAACTGTTTTATGTTTCTAGTTGAAATGGAGAGAAGACAGAACATACCTAAGTTGGGAGTAGGAGTTCCCAGTCTCTAAGATATCCTTTTAGACATTTTTTTTTAAATATCGAATTGGTTTTCACTCCTGTAGCCTTAAAATTGGGAATGAAGGGAGAGATGCAGTGAATCATTTTGATAATCCTAAAAATCCTAATGTCAGTTTTGTATAGTCCTTCAGTTTGATAGGATATGTGGCTAGGGAGAATAGTGGTAAAACTGTTCCTTAGATCTGTGTCAAAGTGTTACAGTTGGGTATGTGTAATGAGTAATCTAAATATCAGAATTACAACTGATTTTTTTTTGTTGACATTTTGTATTTTGGTTCACTAAAAAATCTGTAACAGTCTTAAAACATGTATTGCCAACTGAAACCAAGGTCATCTTAGTCCATGATGAAAGGCTGGCAGAACTAAACCTGTCTTCTCTTGAGACGTGTATCAGTGATGGAAAAAGAGGCTCTGGGGAATGGGATTTCTAGTCCACAGGTGATACACTTATCTGTTGCTTGCTCGCAATATCCTCTCGAGAACAAATATTTATAATTTGACTCTCTTGTAGGCCATAGATATATCTATTATTCAGCAGTTCTTTACTACTAAGAAGGAGATAGGGAACTCTTTTTTTCTGTTTTGAGAAGATGTAGCCTGTGGCTCTAAGCAAATGAAGCAGGCAAAAGCTTCATGTTCTTGAAATATCCACTGCCTTTCCTCCAAACACTTCATCTTCTGTTTAGATCTTAATTCATGCAGAGTCAATCCCTTCTGTGTTTCTTGAAATGGATTTTTTTCTATTGGCCTTGTTGCATCACTTCCCCAAACACCACGAACTAAACTGATGAAAGCATGCATTCAACATAATTGCATCCACACTAGAGATTTTGCTGGCAAAGCAGTGTCAGATATCCCAGGTGATCCATGTATCCTAGTTAAAATTTGTAAAGTAAACCTCACTTATGATTTGTTTGGAGATAAATAATCGCTTAAAAGGAAAAACTGTTTTCTCTCCAAAGGTCGAAATGAGAGACCAAGAAATAGAACGTCTAGTATTAGCATTGGATGGTGGTCGCTCTCATGATATTATTTCTCTGGAATCTAGAAGTAAAAGCAATGAGAAGCTTATTGCCCAATTAAATTTGCAGGTAACATTTATTATTATTGAGTTCAGTTTATAAATACTAGCAACCTATAAGATGATTTGTAGCTTTTCTTAAAAACTGTTTATGCTGGGAACAAAATCAACTTAATGAAATGTTAATGTAACATTTTTAGTCTTTTGTTTTGCAAATATATTTTCAGTTGATTTAATTTTTTTGTAGAATAGTTTCAGTCTCTGAGGGCTCTATTTGTAAAAACGTGAATCACTTTTTTAAAAAAGGTAAAAGTTTATAAATTATCTGTATTTAATAATCACTGAGATTTGCCAGAATACACAGTAGAAATGGAATAGTAGGCTGATAATGATTTAGGAAGGTACAATGTAGGAATTTATGTAAGATTATTGTTTCTGTTAAGCTACAAAGTTCATTTTGAATTTGCAGCTTGTTTGTTTTTTCTGTCTTTTTACCTTTATTTGATTCTCTACCACTAAAATGAAAATGCTCTAAACAATAGGCTGACTGCTATCCAGAAGAATTGATTTATTAACAAGAGGAGTTATCCTGCTATTAGGGTCATCCAGTAATGATCTGTGATCAGGATATCTCATGATACAGGAGGCTGTAAAGTTATTAATGGAGACTTATTGTAGGATAGGGCTCTCTAGTTGGCAGCTCATAGACTGCATGTGGGCCAAAAAGGGTTAATTTGTGGCCCCAGTGCTCTCACTTAGCTACTACTCTGGTTGCAGCAGCATGTTGTGGTCTCCAGGCTCTCCTTCCCTCTTCCAGTTTCCACTGCCTGCCCCTACCCTAAAAGGCAGGGCACTGTAGCACAGAATAACCTGTGGTACCCAGGAAGCCTGTGGCAAGGGAGCTGAAGGTAAGGGTGGGTGCTCACCGTGTTTTGACCCCTTGAGTAGATTTGAGGGTCTTAGGCTTTCTTTTGACAGCCCCTGTTCTAATGCAAAATGAGTCCTTCAAAGGAGTGAATGCAGAAACAAACTTTAGAATTCTTCAGTTGCTAGCAAATGAAGAAGAAACAGTATATAACTAGATGTACTTTTATGGTCCAAGCAAAAATGAGCACTCTTACAACTTAAAACCTCTACATCTTAAAGTCCTAAGAATTTCTAACAGGTGGGCAGCCTGTTAGGGAGTATTTATCCAAATTCAGAAATTTAGTTCTAAGGGACATTGGATTTTCATTACATCTACAGATGGGAACCACAGCAAAGGTTGCCAAAGAAGCGCATCTCAGAGTATTGAGTCCTCTTTTCCCCCCCTTCTCAAACAAAGGCTTATGCCATTACTTGGTAGAAACTTCAACAGATGTGGTCAGAAAGAAGGTGTTCTAGTGTCATTCTGTTGGTCATCTAGAATTTACTGACCTGAACCCAAAATCAATATCCATGTCCTAAGACTAGCTAGGCCTTTCAAAAAGTTTCTCTTGCTTATGACCGGTTCTTTTTCCACTGCTTCTCATAGCCCCACTTATGCTAATATGGCCTGTCTAACTTAAAGTTAATACAGTGAAAAGCCTATTAAAGCTACTGTAATGCAAGCTGAAAGGAGTCTAGCTCAACACAAAGGTCTACAAGCACCAGGGGGTGGGGCGCACAGTGGTGCCACCCACACAGTGGGCAGTCCCTAGTGGCTTAAACAATCTTGCTGGAGGTGGTCATTTTAACCAGCTTAAGCTGGGGAAAGCTGCTCTGGAATCTAATTGGAATCTGAGTACTCTCATGGACCTCCTCAGGGGAAGAATAAAATTGAAAAATGGGTGTTCCATTCAAGATGTTGTTTTATAAATCATTTGACCTCTTGTGCCTTATCTTTATATAAAGTGCAGTGTTGGTCAAACACTGATACACAATGGGCAGATGCCCTGAAGAGTGAAGTATTAAGAGTTAAGGTGTTTGCTATTTTCTTGAAGCCCTAAGGCAATTGATACATAGTACTCCATTTCTATTATGCTGTGAAAGAGAAGTTGGAAATGTTTCAGAGAAGCTAGGGGGAAGAAACAGTGCTTCAGCCCACCGAGACCCAGGGAAGTCCAGTGAATTGGGACCAAATATGGGTTCCTGTTAAGGTGAGAGTATATTAACTCTCCTTTTATTGGTTTTCCAATGGGAAATAAACTCATTCTGGAAGGCTGTCATGAAATGCTACAGCCTTAACTCCGTATAAGTCCACAGTTTTGCTTATTCATTATTATTATTGTATTTTAAGAATAGGAAGTACCACGGTGTTTTTCCCTTTTTAAATAACGCTTTAATGAATAAAGGGGTGAAGGTTGTAGCTGTGTTGGTCTAAGCACATAGGCAGACAGGGTTCTTTGGGTGAGTCTGATATCTTTCATTAGACCGACTTAAATAGTTGGAAAATAATTATTAAGCAAGCTTTTGGGTTCAAAAACCCTTTGTCAGGCTAAGGAAGTTTCTGCAATTGGTGTGTGCTCTTCCTGGATGGAATGAAAAGTAAAGAAGCCAGAGACTGGTCTGGTATGCATACAAGACAGGTAGTCAATGAAAATTTAGATTGACTCCTCAACGACCTGAGAGACCTGCTGGGGGGTGGGGAGAAAGAAGGGGGATGAATAGTGGAGAGATACTTGGGGAGTCAGATGTCAGGCAGGTTATAATGCATCATAAATCCAATGTTTATATTTAGTCTATGATTTTTAGTATCCGGGAGGTTGATAGTTTCATAGTTTCATAGATTTAGGGTCGGAAGGGACCTAGTAGATCTTCTAGCCCAACCCCCCACCAGGGTGGGAGAACAACAAAACCCCAAAACAAAAACAGGACTCAAATGAGTCCAGCCAGGTAGGCATCCAGCCTCTTCTTAAAGATCCCCAGGGTAGGGGCCAGCACCACTTCCCTTGGAAGTTGGTTCCAGCTCCTAGCCGCCCTAACTGTGAAGTAGTTTTTGTGGATATCCAATCTATACCTCCTCTCCATCAACTTGTGCCCATTACTCCTTGTTATGCCAGCGGGCGCTAGGGGAAACAGCGTCTCCCCCAAACCCTTCTGGTCCCCCCTAGTGAGTTT